CCATCTATAGGAAAACGGCGGAAGCAAAGTTGTACATCTAATACATGTTTGCTAAAAATGTCAGATAAAATCGTATAAAAAATAATATAAGAAAAAAGGCTCAAATAATTTATAAAATTAATAATAAGTATAGGACTACAAACTAAGCCAGGTCTTAATACTGTTAATAAAAAACAAAAGTTTTTTATTATAAATAAATTTTTTATTATAATAAATGTTTCGTCATTCTCAATGTTAAACTTGATACAATTTAAAATCAACTACTCATTTGAAAAACTCATTTGAAATAATTTGACGAAACAAATCATAAGATTTAGACAATTATAATAATATAATATATAAAATTCATCATTTGTATATGTATCACTATCGTTATGGATATGAGCATTAATATATAAACATGAAAACATAGATATAGCATTATTCGGAGAAGAGAGAATGTGAAAAAATGTAGATATATTACAACGCTTGACGGTCATCAATGGTTATCTTATAAAGTGACCTTAAAAACGTAGTCGCAAGGTTCAGAATTACATACTTAAACTGATATATAAATATACATATAATAAATCAACTCTGAGTATAGTCTAAAAACATAATTTAACAAAAATATAAATAACAATTTACAAAAATAACCGTATATCGCTACAATAATTTTCTCAATTTATACGCAAAATTTCACAATTATGAAGAAACGGTTATAGAAATAAAATAGAAAATTGTATATCTAATAATAAAAGGTTATAAAAATAATAATATAAATATAAAATTAAAATTGTATAAAACATGTCTTGACTATACTCATCAGAGTTGGTTCATTGATCAGTTTAATTCTGAACATTTGCGTCTTTAAGATTACTTTATAAGATAATCGTTGATGACCATCAAGCGTTGTAAAATATCTACATTTTCTTGTTCTTATCTGAATAATGCTGTATCTATGTTTTCACATTTATATATTGAATAATGCTCAACAATCATCCATAACGATAGTGATAGATACACAACGATGAATTTTATATATCATTGTAATTGTTATCTAAATCTTATCATATGTTTCGTCAAATTATTGTCTTTCAAATGAGCAGTTGATTTTAAATTATATTAAGTTTAACATTGAGAACGATTCAATTGTGATCGAAATGTTTGTTATAATAAACTTTTGTTTTTTAATAAGCACAGCATTAAAACCTGGCTTCTCGTAGCTCTATATTTATTATTAATCGTATAAAAAAAATTGTATCAGGAATGTCTTGGTACATGAAACAGCAGTTCCGCATTAAACCGGATAAATATATTTTCAATGCAGATGAAAAAGTTTGTACTTGTTGTATTACTACCAAGTTCTATAAGAAATTTCCATAGTTTTCAATATAACTTTCTACGAGAAATTTACAATAAGCTGAATAGGGAATCTGAATTGCTTCTATGATATATGTACATCTATTGCTTCTATAATTCGACATCAAATTTATTCGTAAAACTCGGATTTGCTTGAACAGTTTCAAAAGGAATTTCCGTTTCAAATATCATTACTTTCCTTATAAAAACACTATTAGGCTTTACAAGGACAACAGTCAGCATCCGTATAAAATCTCATATTAGATATTTTCAACGTGGTTCTACGAGAAATTCACAATAAGCAGAATAGAGAGCTCTGAATCTATAGAGATTATACCTCTTATTTTCATTTTTACATAAAAATGAATTTTTAAGTGTAAAAATGAAAATAAAAGAAATAATCTTCAATGGTCTTGATTTTGACTTTTGACAAATGTTATCCAGGACATGATCCTAAACAACATTCAAGAGGTATTAGCTATTGGTCGGACCTTGTGTAATGCTAATGCCGGCGTTACTGTAACTTTCAATAGCCTTATAACTCGAAAAGTACAATGAAAAATAACCTTATAATATTTTGAAAAGCTTTCGATATCAACTATTAGATTAGATACTGGAATAAAAAATTAGGTATTCCATTAAAAATAATCGATGTGACCTTCACCTGACCTTGGCGATGTCAACCAAGGTCAAACTAACTACTAATAAGATTAGTAAATATATCTTTTTGAACCCTATAACGTTTATCTATTGAACAATTTTTCTCAATATCGTGTTTCCGAGATAAAAATTTGTAAGACTTCATTTTGAATATCCGGTATATATATCTAGGTTTTATTACTGTTAGTTATTATTAAACCGTAACGTATATAATTAGAAAGAAACCAGAGAGTGGATATCCTGGCTTTTTTCATATATCAAATCTTATAGGATAATGTCCACAACTTTATGATTCTCTTCCGTGGTATTGATTAGACAAAGATGAACAATCAAACTTTGAAGTATATTTATCTATTAATAGTACAGAAAAGAAACACAAAATCGTGAACTTTATCCTACGGGATATGATACACAAAAAAGGTCAGGATGATTACTCTCAGATTTCTCTCTGTCGTTACCGAAGAGATACTATTCAAAACGCCGATCCTGAGAAAATTTTCGTAACTATCAATAAAGCCGTCCTAGGGAGTCTGAAGCTAATTGAAGAACGATGACATAATCAACAATTAATATAAATTTATGAGTATCAACATAAATATTTGGATAATATATTATTTATACATTCATTTTATATTATATAAACGCTACATAAATAAATGCGCATACTTGTAATGTTATTTCAGATAACAAAACGGTTTTTGGTATAAGAAAAGAAATAGATTAGCACAAGTTTCTCTTCAATTACCACTATGTTGCTGTCACCAGAGCAATAATAATTTCGTTTAGGAACAATCTAGGTATTATGCAGACAACGGTTGTTTGCGCAAACACTGTAGCAAATTTGCCATAAATGTTACTACAATGTTGGAAATCGTTTTCATAAAATATTTAGTCCATATTTCTGTCAGTTGAATGGAAATGGAGTTGAACAATATGCGATAGTAGAAGGATGCATCGAGTTATTTAATTTCTCGATTTTATAATTTCTCGATTTTAAAAAACGACAAAAAATAAAAGATGCAGCACTGAAAGATTTTTCAGCTGAGTGTTCTAATGAAATAATTTTTTGAAATGAACTCCAAAAGCTCTAAAATAAAAGCATAATATATTTTTTTTAATGTTATCGAATAACTGATATCTCCTGATACTTTAAAATTTAAAATGTTATGGTACTTTAAGATATACACTTGTTATTCTTATCGAGGACTTAGGGTTGCCAAGTTGAAAAAAATAATTTCCGTAGAATTTGTAGTGAAATTTCCCAAGAAATTCTTAGAAAAAAAATACGAAAAATTTCTGAAAAGATAGAAAATTTTATGAAAATCTAAGATAAAATCACAAAAATCCTGAAAAAAAGATCTCCTAATTTTTTTTATTTTATGTTTATTAAATAATAACATAAACTGGAGTGTAAAAAAATTATTTTATTTTAATAATAAAAGTATACAAATACATAAATATACATTATTTATATAATGTTGCGAGTTATATAACTAAAAACAAATCAAAATATATTAAAATATTTTTTAATATTATATAATATAATTTTAGACATAATAAACATTTTTAGAAAGAAATATACTCTTAATAAGCTTGAAAGTATTATCACATCATATTGAGATCACATTTAATTAATAGAAATAAATATGTTAAACAAGAACTCTTTCTCCTTAAAATAACAAAAACTTAAATCTTGGCTAAGATAAGAATCAGCGCGAATGAAAGTGCGCAATAAATCTTTTACAAATAATTTTGTTAATCCATACGATGTATTGATATCATCTTTATTTGAAATCTTAAAATCGTGAACGTTTCGATTCTTTTTAGAATCTTCATCAGCAATCTTCTTAAACCATACTAGATTTTGCGAATGTTCGATGTAGAATCACTCGCAGATTGCCAAAACTGTATTTCTATTAAAGTGTTATCTCTTTAAATTCATATACATAAGATACTGAAATTCAACCAATAAAGTAACGAGTAACTCATCCATACGATCATCAAATCTCATTATGAAACTTTGATATATGATATCAATATATTCATATATAATGATAATATATTCATATTCACAATTAAACACATTTTATAATAATTTTATGTAAATTTGTTTGAACTCCGTCTAATCTATCTGGAGTAACGAATATGTCTAACGTTAAAATTGACAAAAGTCCGATCGATGGAAAATAATAAATCATAATAAATATAAAATAGAAAAAGACAGTGCAGTTCGTATTTAATTGTTGATTTTAACCTATATGATATATGTAACATATATATTTAACATATATATAACATATATATTTAACATATATAATGTCGTGTCATAGATATAATAAATATAAAAACAGAAAATTATTGTAATAGTTTAAAACATAATTGAATACAAGAAGCGAAAGATCTAGAAAACGAAGATCTAGAATACACAATCAAAATTTAAACGCGTCACATTAACATTATGTTTAAAATTATGTAGTAATTTATAATCATTGTAAAAGTACAAATATAATTAAATACAGGAATTAACGACAGAATACAAATAAATTAATAAATAAATTAATGAGTCAAAAAGAAAAACTAAACTACAAATTAAAATTTTTAAACGTCGCATTAATATAATTTTTATACACAATATTAATGCGACGTTTAAAAATTTTGATTTTTGACATAAAATGTGTTTAGTTGTGAATATTAATATAAAAGTTTCATGATTTGGCGATCGTGTGATACTCGTTATTTTATTGGTTGAATTTCAATATTTTGTGTATATGAATTTAAACAGATAATATTAGTTTTAACAACCTGCGAGTGATCGAACGTTCGCGAATCTATTGGGTTGTTCAAAAAGTCATTGCGTTTTTTCCAATAGATTGTCCACATTTATTTATATGCGAGCGTGAATGTCAAATGTTTACGCGCGTTTTGTTGTTGACACTCAACCTAAAAACCAAAAAAAAAAGTTGACGCGATTCGGTCGAGTTTTGTGCTTGCACTTGTGATTCGAACATGGAGAAGAGCACATTCGCCATATTCTGTTTTATTACTTCAAAAAAGGGAAGAAAGCAACTAAAGCAAGGGAAAAGTTGCGTCGAGTTTACGGCAGAAATGTCGTCAAAAAACGCCAGTGCCAGAATTGGTTCGCCCGATTTCATGATGGTGATTTTTCAGTCAAAGACGCTCATCGCTCCAGTAGGCCTTCCAAGATTGACGACGATGAAATGAAAGCATTGGTGCAAGCAAATAAGCATTCAACGGTTCGGGAGCTTGCTATCGCTCTAAAAGTGTCCGTTGGAAGTATTCATGGCCATTTGAAATCGCTAGGCTTCGTAAAGAAGCTCGTTGTTTGGGTACCGCATGAGTTGAAAGAAATTCATCTGACGAATTGCATGAGCGTCTGCGATCAACTCATCAAACGCGAAGAAAACGATCCATTCTTGAAGCGTATGATCACGGGCGACGAAAAATGGATTGTTTACAACAATGTCAGCCGAAAAAGAAGTTGGAGTAAGTGAGGTGAAGGCGAAAAAGCGGAGAAAGAAGATAATGCTATCAATGTGGTGGGATTGCAAGGGACCAGTCTTCTATGAGCTACTTCCAAAGAACAAAACGATTAATTCCGATGTCTACTGTGAGCAACTGCAGAAATTAAGTGATGCACCATCGCACAGAAACGTCCCGAGCTAATCAATCATAAGAGTGTGGTATTTCACCACGACAATGCGAGACCACACACAAGTTTGGTCATTCGGCAAAAATTGTTGCAACATGGTTGGGATTACCACATCCACCATATAGCTCAGACCTTGCACCATCAGATTTCCATCTCTTTCGCTCCTTGCAAAACTCCTTGAATGGTAAAATGTTTGCTTCTGAAGACCTCAAACAGCACCTAGACAAGTTTCTCGCAGAGAAGGATGGGAAGTTTTATGAACATGATATTATGAAGTTGCCCGGGAGATAGCAGAAGGTCATCGAACAAAACGGCCAATATATCATTGATTAATGTTCATTACGTATATTAAATAAACACATCTGAAAATCAAATGAAAAAAACGCAATGACTTTTTGAGCAACCCAATAGTATGGTTTAAGAAGATCTTGCTGATGAAGATTCCAAAGAGAATCGAAACGTTCAAGATTTCAAATAAAGATGGTATCAATACATCGTGTGGATTAACAATTATTTGTAAAAGATTTATTACGCACCTCCGTTCACGCTGACTCTCATTAGCCCAGATTTAGGTGATTTTTATTATTTTAATAGAAATAGGAATTTTCAATTATATGTTAACTTATTATCATCACGTACACTAATTCAGTCATAGAAAACAGACTTGTAATATGTATATGGGCGACCGATAACCGATGACCGCGACATCTATAAGTAATCGGTTGAAATTTGTTAGAGAATCTGTATGACATGTAGTTTTATAACAATTTCATAATAATTGTGTTGTAATTTTCTTTCGTATTTATGAAAAAATTATGAAATTTCCTGATATATATATTTCCTGATATATTTTTCCTTAAATATTGGAGAAATTTAAAATTTTCAATAGATTTCGACTAAAATTCTGTTTTCCTATCAATTCATCAAATTTCGTTAAATCTTGAGAAATTTCCCGAGACTTGACAACCCCGCAAGGACTTCGATCACGTTTCATTCACGTTTGGAGAGTTCGACAATTAAAACTCGTTCAGTTAAAATGCTGTCAGATTACTGACAATTTATGAACGTAAGATTTTAGACGGAAATTGTTTCCATCATGTTGCTCTGTGATTTCTAACAACTTATTATACGATCAGTTTATAAAAAGACAACTGTTACTATCAAGTTGCTCATAAAAATTAGTAGCAATAAAAATCGACAATCTAATAGGCAAAATCGAAATCACTTTCTTAAATATTGAAGGTAGCTAAAACTGTTTCAAGCAAATTAACTGCAAGCAACTTGCTAATTGGGTATAATATCTTATATATTACTGCAAAATTACATTTTTTTCTCTACAATAATCATCTCTATCGACAATCGAACTCTATAACACTAAAATTACAATTTACAAATAAAAATCATGTATTACTGAATTTTAAATATACATGTATACATGTTTTCTAATAAATCATAAAATTAGGACTATATTAATTTTTTACTCTTAATCACTTAATAAGAAATAGAAGTAACAGTCATAATGATCAAAGCTAGATCTTTAATGTTTAAATAAGTTAATCTGAATTATTATATACAGGATTTCCTCTAATTGATCGTCTAAAATATCTTCATTTTTTAACTCTTTCGCTATTAACGCCGGCTAGCTGGCATCCACGAAGCAATCCGCGGTGAACGCTACAGCCGGTTATAGAACATATAAGTTCGCGAATTTATTTGTGTAGTAGCGCCTCCTGTAACCGTTGCGCAAATTATTTGACAGGATTTCAGATTGAATTATTTACCGTTACTTTTATTTTTTATTGTTGAATTTTTAAATGTACAGTCCAGTAAAATTCTTATTAATCACTTAAATTTTAACAGTCATACGAACTTCTATAAGACTGGCCGTCTTTAGTAGCATCTCATTGGTGCTCTGTATAACAAAACAAAAAAAATTTCAAAAATTTACACAGGATTAAGTGTTTTTAGTAATACTTCATCGATGATAATAATCAAAGCAATTTAAACAATAGATACATTTAACCTTAAATATGGCCGTATCTATTACTAACATTTAATATCAATTTTTCAACTAAATTTTTTTATTAATCGAAGGAATCTATATAGAAGATTGTGTTTCAAGAAAATATATATAAGGAAACATTAAAAAGAAGATACTAGAATAGATAGGTTCTACCATATAAATAAATAGCATAAATAAAGAAGCATTGCACTATATTGAGCATACTTAACAAAAATATATGTTAAATGTTTCTTTCATTGACTGACGCGTCATATTGTATGGATCAATTTGGCCAAGTTTATTTTCTCGCGAATATTTGAAATTTTCTATTTTTTTATATATATGGATCATTCCACGTTAAATAGGCTATCCTCTCGTCTAGCAACAAACTAAATATAATTTATAGATACTCTATAACTTTCACGTCATAGGATACGTCAACCGTTACGCGTGACAAGAGACAACTGAAGAGTTTAATTGGAAGCATCTAATTGGTTATCGTCTTTTACCACGCGTAATGTTTACTACACACTTGACGCAATAAATGATGAGCAACGAATAATATCCAATGAAAAAACGGGTGATATCCTCTGCTTTTTTTCACATACAAAGCTCTCATTGAATATCACTCATCGCTCATCGCTCATCGCGTTCAGTGTGCACGTACACGCGTTGACGCGTCCTATGTACAATAGGTATCAAAAAATTTAGGTTGAAGCTTCTAGTTTTTGATGCTATGTAGCAATTTTAATATTAATAACAATATTAATATTAAAATAATAACAATATTAATATTAAAGTTCCAATTCAAGAGAGCTAGCCCTGATGACTTTGACCTTGACAAATATTGTCAAATTCATGACCCTAAGTGACCTCCAATAGGTTTTATTCGCTCGTTATTCATTAAAAATTATTAATAAAAGAAATTTAAGAAATATTGTTATTATTAAGAAATATTGTTATTATCTTATTTCTAGTATATAATATTAAATACTATTATACCTTACACCCCTTATTTACGGGGCATAATGATTTTTTATGCGAAGCGGAGGTCCACCCCATCTCCCTCCTGCCACCTTACCTCCTCTCTGCCTAGAGACGCATGATTTCCGTGCGAAGCGATTCCCATCCCACTTCCTCCCCCCTGCTTAAGAACGCACAACTTCCATGCGAATATTTATTCAAATTATTCATTTTACTATTTTATTTAAAAAAATAGCTTTTTTTGGGAGTCACAAAAATTTAAGGGCTTTCATTTTTACCTAAAATGAAGCTTTTTACAAAGTTTTATCGAAATCGGAGGGATTTGGTTTTTCGAAAGTTTATCCAAAATTCTATTTTTCAGTAACAAAGAATATAAAAAAAAAATAGCAAGATCTTTTTGAAGTCGATTTGAAAACGCAAAAGCTATCCCTAACATATAACAACATGCATTTATATCAGTAGAACACTTAATTATTAAGAAATCTTTTTCAACTTTAAATAATACAACTTTTCAGTATTAAAATTCGCGCATTATCAAAGCATATGTGTTATAATAAAAATTGGAATTAAAATTGGATTGGACAAAAAAAATGAAAAAAGATTTTAATTAAAAGAATAAAAAGAATAAAAATTAAATTACAAAAAATTTTATTTATTGAAATAAATAATTTTCAACAATGAACAAATAAAACATGAAATAAAGAAGAACAAATAATACTTTGAGAAGTAATCCGAAGATAGACTTAACCTTACATAAACGCTACAGAAAGCTAGCTTTTTGTTTATCATAACAAACAATTAATCAATGTTAACAAATGATATGTAGTCAGTGTTGGAACGTATTTAGGTAAAAATATCTAGATATAGTATCTAGATACTTTAGTTGTATCTAAGGTCACGATTTACGCTGACACGCTTAAAAATCATTTCATCCTTGTTTTTCAAATGTTGAACGAAGACAAACGATACTCATGAGCGTTGTCAACAAGAATCGGACCACGGCCTAAGTATTATCTAGATCCTTACGGGCGGAAATACCTATATCTGTATCTAGTTACTTTTTAGTATGGTATCTTTTAAGTTTTAGATATATAAATACAAGATACTTATATTTTATTTTATGTCATATTGGAAACTTAATTTTTTATTACTGAAATCATCTTTCTTCTCTAATTCTTAATTTTATACAAGTGCTTTCATTTGCTTCATCACCTGGAAGAAAAAAAGTTTTACAAAATTATGTAATTTTATATTAGTTATATATAAAATTATATATAATTGTATACAGAATGTCCCCGACGGAATCGCCTCTCACGAACTGGTATAGCGAACTGACTGTATCGAAAAATCCTTTACCATTTACAAACGCGACCGATGATATATACTTAAGTCCGCGCTTATTTAATGATATTTAGAAATTAATGTCTCCTAAAATATTAGCAAAAGTTGTAAAATAGTAAACGACTTTCTAATTCAGTTCAGTCCGCTCTATCTCCTCACAAGAAATGATCTCGTAAGAGATCCTACATACGAAACATGCCCATATTTGAATATATTCTATATAGAATATAGTTCCCTTTTAGGATAACCTTTTATCTCCGATATATAATTATATTTAATTTTACACAGTATATAATTAATATGAAATTATATAATTATAAAAAAATTTTTCCGGGCGCCTAAATAATTTTAATTCCTAATATTTAGTAATTGGCGACTAAAGAACCTCATAGAAAAAAAATGGCAAACCGATGACGCGACGCCGGTCTTCTTTGATTCCGAGCACTAAAGCTCTATAGAGTCTATTATGGATATAGGAATACACAGATTAGAGAAGAACAATTTGTGACGAATTG